TTTATTCTTCTAATCTCAGGATGTACCTAGCCCCACCTAAAACCAAGACCTTTGGATTTAGGAGAAACATACACATATAAAATCAATCAATACTGAAACAAAGGTATAAAATATCTCTTCCTTACTTATTTCTATCACACCTTGGGCTACTCCCACCCTCTGACATTAGGGTAGAAGAGATGAAGAAATAAAGATTTTTAAAACTAACAACAAATTTAGAAGATTATTATTTATTTATTTATTTAGAAGATTATTTACAGTTTTCTCATGAAACTTTCAAACATGTAGATAATTCTATATTCTAGGACGGGAAAATAATGACCCCCCCAAAATTGCATAATATGCATTAACTTTATTCTGGATCCTTCATTGAGAATATGCTCTACCAACATAAAGTAAAAGAAAATATAATTTGTTTTAGGATGTGGTTTCCAGGAATGTTTCATCACACTGCTTTCCTAAAGCTTTTTCTGAAAAAAATCCAAAAGCTGGTCAGTCTCTTAAACTTATTTACTTATCTCACTTATTCAGCCATGTCTGACACAGTAGTATAGTTAGAAAAGTGCTTAGCAGCATTATGGATATTCTCAAAGTGCATACAAATCAAATACCCTTTATCATGGCTTTACCATGACTAGGGGGTCCTTTTTTCCTTATGACCACATCCAGATAAAATATTATAATCCAGTTTTACATTTAAATATAGATAGAAAAAAAACCAAAATACAAACACATTGATATTTGATTTATAAGGCATGGTGACAAATCACTTTCCTTAATAAATAAAGCTTGCATCTCAAATATACTTTAATTACTAATTACGGTAAGTAAACAAATGAGAAAAAAAGGACTATAAAAGGAGAAAAAAAAGGATAAGAGAGGAAGAAAAATTTTAAAAAGAGAAATAGGAAATGGCAAAAGAAAAGGATTTAATCTAACTAGTTTTAACTACTATTCACTTAAGTTATGCTATAATTCACTCTCCAGAGAAATATCTGATTAATCACTGTTTGGAGTCAATCATCTTTAAACTTTAGTTTCCCTAGGAAAGTCACCTTGACACAATATCAATACAACTTCCTTTAAGTTGTAGCAGGAAACAAAACAGTCTATTATTCTGCGTTCTTTTTACTACCTGAAAACCTTGCCTTATTTATAAAATCAGTAAGACCAGATCTCCAAACCTCAGTTCATAATTTTTCAACTCTACCTAATTCTTCTGCTTTTCACAGAAGTGTATCATGAGGTAAAAATAAAGCAGAGATAGAATAATCTAAGTAAGAAAAAAATATTAAAAGAAGAAGACATTATGGTGGTAGCACATATTTGAAGACAGCCTTGAAAAATTATAAATAGAAAAAAAATCCTTCGTTAATACATGTAAGAAACTGAAAGCTGTTGGTATTGCTCTCAATTTTCCTCATATGAAATTCTCCCACTGCATTTATATATATGTAAGACCAAACAATTCTTCATCTTCTTTCAGTATCATGACCTCAACAATGTACTGTGTAAAAAATTGAAACAGTTTTCCTTTAAAAAAAAAAAAAAAAAGTCTGAAGCAGCTTTGTAACATAGTTAATTTAAAAGATGGAACCTTCCATAAAGCTGAAAACTTTACAGACTAATTTCATAAGGATATGAAGCAAAAATCACTGGAGTTAATTCCTTTGTTCTGTTGGAACATCAAAAAATTACATTGGTATCAATTATAAATTGAGACATAAATCATATTCCTACCTGAGAACTCCATCTATTTGGTCTTTGGTATAGCCTTTTCCACTTTCACCACCACCAGATATGCTGTCCTTTGTGCAATTGGGTTTGCTCTGATCACCAGCACCTGATGGTTTTCGGCAATGAGGGCTATTTCCAGCAGTGCTTCCATTTTTCATAATTATCTCCAATAGTGCTGTACAAAGATAAAGTACGTTATGCCGGTTTACATCAAGTTGCATATATAAGATCTTAAGAAGAAAGTTTTAAAGCAGACAAATTACAAACTGTGTACTCCAAAAAGATCTGCCATAGGGTCTTCTTAAATAGCAAGTATTCCCTTACATACTTAACTATTTAAAGAACACTATTCACCATGTAAAAACTGAATGTTAAGAAATTTTAAGTTAATAACTTGAAATTACTATTCTTCAATTATTTATGACAAACTTTTATTTGTTAAGTAAAATTACAGAATACCAAAAGATAGTCTTTAAGTAGCTAATGAGATTATCCAGAAAGAAACAGAAATTAGACTTGTTTATTTCTCAACAGCAACAACAGGAGCCAAAAGACACTGTATTATTTTCAAAATACTCAGAAAAAAAAATAACTGTCAACTTGCGCTCTGTATTAGTCTTCCATAATGTGCACAAGATAAAAACATTTTCACAAAGAATGAGAAACTTTATTGCTAAGAGTTGCACTGGATAATACTGTAATATTTACATTTCAGACAAAAGAAAAATGTTTCCAGTTAGACTGAGGTACAAAAAGAATGGTGAACAAATATTGCAGTAAATGTATAGCTATAAATCTAAACAATGAATGTATGAAACAGCAATAATTGTGTTTAGGATTTGCTTTAAAATGATCTAGGGAGACCTGGGTTCAATCCCCAGCATCACAAAAAAAAAAAAAAAAGAGAGAAAAAATGGTGGGGGGGGAGGGTGAGAAACAATAAAAATTGGAGTCGAGCAAATGTAGAACTCAGGTTGGCTGTATATATTCAAAGTGGTTAAGATAAATGTGTGAGTCAGGCACAATGGAACACTCCTATAATCCTGACTTAGGAGGCTGAGGCAAGAGGATTGCAAGTTCAAGGCCAGTCTTAACTACTTAGTCAAACCCTAAGCAATTAAGTGAGAAACCGTTTCAAAATAAAAATAAAAAGGGGTAGCATGTGACTCAGTACTAAAGTGCCCCTGGGTTAAAGCTCTAATACAAAAAAAAAAAAAAAAAAAAAAAAAAAATGGGTGATAGTGATAATATTTTCTTTCCTTTTGTATATGCTTGAAATGTTCCATATTAGAATTTATACTACATTAAAAGTTAACAAAACTAAAAGGAAAAAAAGAAAAAATTTACCATCTTAATTTTTTTTTATTTTTTTGGGGGGGGAACAGAGTTTTACTATGTTATCCAGGGAAGCTTTAAATTCCTGGTTTCAATTCATCTTCCCACCTCAGCCTCCCAAATAGCTGGAACTATAGGCACATGCCATCACATTCTGCTTTGTTGAAGATTTTAACACATTTCAATTAATAAATGACATAAAGTAAATTCAACTGATGAATATTCATTTTTTCCTGGCACACAGGAATGAAAATAGATCATATTATATCCAGGCCATAGAGATATCTTCTGAAAATCTCTAAGAACTAGTGCCATATGTACTACAATCTATAAGCAAAATACATTTCAGTAAAAAATCAATTATAAAACTTTAACTAAAAAACACACAAATGTGATGGAAATAAAAAAAATCCACAAAACTCATCAAAAAAATAATCATCACAGAAATTTGAAAATACTTAAAAGAATAACAATGAAAACACTGTATCTCAAAACTTGTGGGTCAAACAGATATCCACTTGTTAAAGAGTTAATTTGGGCCCCCTACATCACACCATACTCAAAAATTAACTCAAAATAAAGCATACACTTAAAGGTAAATAGCTAAAACTACAAAACTCTGGTAAGACAATATATGAATAAATCTTTGTGACTTTGGTTTAGATAAATACTCTTACATGCAACATCAAAATTGCAAAGGAAAAAGTAGGCAATGTGCACTTAATCAAAATTAAACACTTTTGTACTTCAAAAGCTATCATCAATAAAGTGAAGAAAATCCACAGAATAGAAAAAAATATTTGAGAATCACATCTGATAAAAGAAATGTGTCAGGAACATAAAAAGAAGTCTTACAATTCAATAAGAAGGCAAAAAAAAAAAAATACAATTTAAAAGCATGGGGTGAAAGTCCAGCAAGGTGATGCATACCTATTTCCAGCTACTCAGGAAGGCTGAGGCAAGAGGACTGCTTGAGCCCAGGAGTTGAAGACCAGCCTGAGCAACATAGGGAGACTCTGTCTCAAAAGGAAGAAAAAAAAAAAGCAACAAACAAAAACTATGGCACAAAGAACCTGAAAAGACATTTCTCTAAGAGATTTAAATGAATGACCCATAAGCATATGAAACAGTTGCTCACTGTCATTAGCCTCTACAGAAATGAAAATCAAAACCACAGTGAGATACCAATGCACATTCATTAAAATGGCTTTAGTCAAAAAGATGGACAATAATTAGTGCTGACAAGGATGTACAGAAATTGGTACTCTAACTACACTGCCTGTAGAAATGTAAAATGGTGCAGCTGCTTTGAAAAATTGGTAGTTTTTCTTAAAAAATTACCATTTGACTCAATCTCATTACTAGTTATATACCCAAGATAAATAAAAACAAATATCTGTACAAAACTGGTTCATGAATATTGACAGCAACATTATTCATAACAAAATAGTGGAAACAAATAAAAACTTTGTGAACTATCTAGACAATAGTATATTATTTGAAAATTTAAAAAAGGGTACTGGGTACATGTACAACATGGATAAATTGTGAAAACATTATGCTAAGTAAAAGAAGTCAATAACACAAAAAAATGCTGCATGAAATGTCTACGCTATATATCTATTTATATGAAATGTTCAGAACAGGTAAATTGAGTTAGAAAGATTAGTTATTGCCAATTGTAGAGTATAGGGATGGTGAGGAGAGTGTAACTGAGAAATTAAATGTGATGGCTAATGAGTATGGGGTTTCTACTTCTTTTTGTTGTTGTTGTGTTTTTAAATATTTTTTTAGTTATAGTTGGACACGATACCTTTATTTTTATGTGGTGCTGAGGATCGAACCCAGTACCTTGCTCGTGATAGGCGAGCCACAACCCCAACCCCATCTTCTTGTTCTTGAAACAGAGTCTTACTATTGTTGCCCAGGTTACCTACAAATTCACGATCCTCCTGCCTCAGCCTCCTGAGTAGCAAGCACTACAGGCATACACAACCATGCCGAGCCTGCGGTTTCTTTCTGAGGTGAGAAAATGTTCTAAAACTAATTGATATGGTGATTGCACAATTCTGTGAATATACTAAAAATCCACTTAATTAAAGTTAACTATATACTATAAATGGGTGAATTATATGGTATGTGAATCATCTCAAAGCTATTTTATGTATGTATTTTAAAAATTCCAACAGTGCTGTTAGCAAATATGTAAATATGTAGATATTTATTATTTATATAAACTTTTCTACCATTCATTTTCCCTGGTTAATAGATTTGAGAAATCAAGGACATAAGAAATTTAGTTCTTATAAAATCTATTGTTATAGATGGTAGAAAAATACTAAATTTAGACAGCAATCTTATAGTTATTAACAACAGAAATACAATACATAGTCAACTATTAACTGTAGTTTAGTTCGTACTTAATGCAATCACAAGGGAAGTCATCAGTCTAGCAGGTAGTCGATCACAACATTTAAACATGAAAAATTTGGGGGGAATTCTGGGACAAAGGTTGTGACAGCAAGTTAAATTTTAAATTTCTCCATATTCCCTCATAAAATCAGAGCAATTAAATAACAAAGTCAAAACTTCATGCACAAAAAACACCCAAATACAAGGTAGGGACTACCACCAAGCTAAAAAGATCTGCGGGGATATTAGAAATGTGTGAGAAACAGAAAATAGCAATGGGGCGTTTGCCAGCCAAAAGAACAGAAAAAAAAAACTCAAAATAAGCAACAGGCAAAACTGAGCAAAGTGTGTTAAAAAGAATGAGTTTTATGATAGCTATAATATAAAAATAGCATCATAACAGCACGAGTGCAAGGGTCTACAATAAAGACTACAGGCACAGAACACTCCAGTTACTATAAACTGATAAAACCAATCAATCAAAATTCTCTTCCAGAACAAGGAGAAACTGCTGGGAACAGGACCTAAACTGAAGAGGACAGAGACAAAGGGAAAAAAGAAAAGAGAAACTCCAGATTAAAGTCGTGAAGGAGAAAGGAATGAGACATTCTCAAATAGCAAGGTGACATTCTTAAACATTATACAAAAACTGAAGGATTGCTGTGTATTCAGAAAGGCTAAATTAACATCACATAAAAAAGAATAAAAGAAAATTGTGGAGGTCTAATACAAATTATTATAAGGAAAAAAAGAGTAAGTATAAACAAATCTCTAAAGACAGTGATGGAACACTATACAGATTTTCTCATCTACTAATACTTCAAAACAAGATCAAGGGGCTTTAAGAAACAATACATGATATGAAAGGATAAACATGAATAAAAATTACAACCACCTCAGAAATTATCTATCCAGAACTTAGGTGCAAAAACTCAGGAAAAAGTCAAATTAGAAGAAATAAAGTTATAAAAATGCCAGAAAAACTTATGAGAAAGAAGATATAAAAGGATGGAAATTTTAAAAATTAAAATATTTTAAATTAAAAAAAATTTGAGAGAAAGTGACAAATACTGAAGGTATCTGAAGAAGATCCAACATATGTACAACAAGTATTCTGAAAAAGAAAAATAATAAAAACAAATATAACAATAATATACTAAAACATCTAAACTATACAAGGCTAAATCACACACCTAAGAGTACTAAGAATAACTAGCACAGCAAAAAGACACATTCTAGTAAAATTAACTCGGCATCTAGGCAAAAAAGAGCAAATGATAAAGAAATAAAAACTTAAGACTGGTGTGGTGGCCAGTGGGGAGGCTGAGGCAGGAGGATCAAAAGTTCACCCTCAACAACCTGTCTTGAAATAAAAAAGAATTAGGAATGTAGTTCAGTGGTAGAGTGCCATTGGGTTCAATCCCCAGTACCCACAAAAACAAAGAAGTTGAGGCAGGAGAAGCATTTGAGACCAAGAATTCAAAGCCAGCCTAGGCAACATATTAAAGATACTAAGTCCAAAAAGAAATAAAATAAATATCCCAGTTACCAAGAAAGTCAGAAGCTAAAGGCACAGAGGCTGGCACAACATAACCTGGGTTCAATTTAGAGCCCTTCTTTTAAAAAAGAAAGATAGATAGATAGTCATTAGATTTTGCTCATCAGTAATACTTGCAAAAAACAATAGCGTAACATATTTAGATACCCAAGGAAAGAAAATGTGGGCCAAGGACTCTGTATCCACCAAACTAACAACATGGAGTAAATCCACAGACGAACTGTTTTCAACATTCTAGAACTTAATGAGCATAGTTCCCATAAACCCTACCTAGGAATCTACTACAAAACAAATTTCAGGAATCTAAAATAATTTATGTATGTATGTATGTGTGTGTGTGTGTATATACACACACACATATATACACACACACACACATATATATATATGGACTGATGTTGAGCATTTACTCTATTAAATACTTATAGACTTAAAAGACTAAATGATAGTTGAGAGAATGTGTAGTATGCTACATAGTAATGATGTTATGTTTTGACACTATAGATATAGTTCAAATATCTTAAGAATGGTGAACTAAAAAAATTATTGGGTGTCTTGCTTTCCTTTCTCTTTTGTCAGCTGGGGTTGGCAGAACCTATGAGGCTTGGACCAAGAAAATTTATTGGGACCAAAGAGGCAGTCATAACTAAAAATATAGCTAAGCTTGATAGGGCCTGCACTAACAGTTAACAAGGCAACTTTTCAAATACAGGGGAAAATGAATAAGTAAGTGGGGAACCACTTTTCTCATTGACAGAGAATAGCAATACAAATAGGAAAATGCAGAGGCTTGAATAAACTCTATGGTACTACACTGAAATGAAGTTTGTGAACATGTGTGTGTGTGTGTGTGTGTGTGTGTGTACAGACATCAAAATTAATACTGATCAAATTACTATAGATGTATGTCTACATTAAACATAGCACACATATGTAGAAATGCATATCTACACACACACAAATTCACACATACATGTATTTCCTAGTTCTGTCCACTCAGAGGATCAGGAGCAATGATATCTCTACAGCAATGAGGCCTATCTAATGACTGAATCTTAGTTTCTAAATACAACTGTCTCTTAAAGGAAACAGCTCCTTGGAGAAATAGCTGATTTCAAGGACAGAGAAGTAAAAAGAAAGTATGCAAATTGTTTTGTGCCAGAAAGTAAAAAATTTCAAAGAATGATGAAGACATGTCAAAAAAGACACAGAGCCAGGCTCAATGGTGCACGCCTGTAATCCCAGTGACTTGTGAGGTTGAGGCAGGAGGATTCTGAGTTCAAAGCCAGCCACAGCAACTTATGGAGGCTCTTAGCAACTCAGCAAGACCCTGTCTCAAATAAAATATGGCTCAGTGGTTGAGCACCCCTGGGTTCAATCCTTGGTACCAAAAACAAAAACAAAAACAAAAAGACACAGGAGCCAGGGTGAAGAGGTGCATTATTTTGTATCAAAACAAATAATGATAACAGATTAAATGGTAATCTATGAATCCATCCAGATAAATAAGCCTAAATGCCATTTAATATATGTGGAAGGAATGATAGAATTAGCAAACTGCCATTTGGCAACCATCAGAAATTTACTCAGAAAAGAATAATCAATGAATGTTACAAGGATATGGTAAAAGTTTGTTGAGGAAAAGGATGTTTATAGTTTCAAATTATTTCCCCACAAAGTATACATTAATTACCACAGAGAAAAAATTAATTTCATAAACTTTATAGTAGAGAAAACGGGCAATCACCAACTTACCAAAATGATCAAAGTAATCTCAGTAGTAAGGACCAAATCAAAAATTGTGTGTCTCCTGATGTGTTACACTAAGAATAGAATACAACTTGTATGGTACTCCTAACAAAAGTTCATATGAGGAAATATAAGTCAAACCCAAATAGAGGGAAATTCTATAACTGGCCTATCCTCATCAAAAAAGTAAAAGTCGAGAGAGAAAATAAAGAAATCATGATATCTTGAGGAAAAAACATACCCACCAAATAAATGCAACATATGCTTTTTTGTCATAAGGGACATAACTGAGAAAACAAGCAGAATTTAAATGAGGTACATGCATTAATTTCCTAAATTTGATGGTTATAATGTGGTTAAGAGTGTCCTTGTCTTAGAAAATATACACTGGCCAGGACACAGTGGCACACACCAGTAATACTAGCTATTCTAGAGGCTGAAGCAGGAAGTTCACAAATTCCAGGACAGTCAGGGCAACTTAGTAAAATCCTCTCTCAAAATAATAAAGACTGGGGATAGAGTACCCGTGGTGAAGCACCCCTGGATTCAACCCTCCAATATATGTGTGTGCAATATACACACACACACATGCATATATAAGTGTGTGTGTGTGTGTATATATATATATATAGAGAGAGAGAGAGAGAGAGAGAATTATTCAGAGGTGATGGGACATCATGTCTACAATGGAACTATTAATCACTTCAGGAAAAAAGTACAATAAGAAACATTGTGGGTGTGCGTGTATGTACACACATGTACTTAGCAGTGGGAGGTAGAAGAGGAAGAATATGATAAAGCAATGTAGTAAAATTTTTTAAAAACTGAAAACTGAAATGTATATGGGAGTTGGTGCTATTCTTTGTATGAAGTTTACATTATTTGTTAGTCATGCATTGCTTAACAAGATTTCAAGAGAAATGTATTGTTAGACAATTTCATCACTGTGAAAACATAGTATTCTTATATAAACTAAGACAACTGATATAACTAGGTATTATAATGTTAAGAGTATATGCAACCTTCAGCTGATCAAAATGTAGTTATGGCGGACATGACTGAATTTGTATAAATCTGTTATTATTGTGACTTCTGTAAGTTTAAAATTATTTCAAAATTTTATAAAATAGGAAAATAGGGAGAATATATGTAAAGAAAACATAACTGTCTTCAATAATTATATTAATGGGTAAGTACTGATAAATATTACTATGAAACGATTATATATACGATATGGCATGAAGCAAATAATCATGGTATATTCTATAACCTCCCATGTCTTTGAGAATCAGGATTACAAATGAGGTAGAAAGGAGATAGAAGTATAAATTTTTAAAGTTTACATAAAATCCTGAGGTACTTAGCTGAAATTACAAGTAATAGTATAAACATATAAACCATATCATCTTTAAAAATAACACACATTCACACATAAACAATATATATTTTCTACTTCTGGGCACTGAAAAAGCCCCAGACAACGAACAACCTAGATGTCATAGTATCCTTAGTGCTCATATTATGATGGAAGAAAAACATTTTCCACTAAAAAAAAAAAACAACAGTTTATAAGAGATGTAGATTATTCCAGGTCTGCCACAGAAAAATGTCCCAAGGAGCTTGAACATTTTGTTATACCAAAGAATAAAGTTAAGTATTAAAGACTACTGGAGATTTGTCTATAGAACTCTGGAACTATTATCATAAAGGGGATCCCACTGGCCAAAAATCTAATAAAATACTAACAATTAGTTGCTTTTAGAGAATAAAAGGTAATAGGCTCCCTTTCTCAAAAAATGATAAAAAAATAAAACAAGCATTTATTATGCTTTTCCTATTTGGTTCGCACAAATACATAACCATAAAACAGGTGAGAGTAGAGTGCCCCTTTATGGAAGTATTTTAGCTAATACCTGAAAAAATTATTTTTAAAGTATGAAGCCAGATAAGAAAGTGATTATTTATTTTTAATATTTACAGATGACCACAGGATCCTATGAATGTAGTTAGAGGCTATCTGTAAGTCCCCTTTCATTTTTAGCATAAAGAAGTTCTTCTAGTGTTCTAGTGACATCATCTGTACTAATAGCTGCATTCTGGATATTACTAAAGCAGGATCATGCAGTTGTTTCACATTTTCAGGAGTTATTATGACATTGAAAATTTTGTACAATTTTCTACACAGGGTCTCTGCCTAACAATAGCTGTTTACACACATTAGTTTACACTAAACTCTTTTAGTAAAACTCTCAACAACTGATATTATTTGTGAGCTTCAAAACCCAGTTTCACCTTATAAAAAGTGAAATCAGAGTTTTCTGTATTAACAATTACTGAAATGAATGCCTGAAAAAAAAATAACATGATTCTTCTATATACTGCCAGAATTTAGAACACACTGGATTTTTCTGATTTATGTAATGTCATCAGACATGAAATCTCATTTGCAGTAATGTACAATATCATAAACAACAGTTGTGCAAACTACTTATAAAACAAAGTTCATTTACTTTTTGGTTTTAAAACTCTGAGTTCATTTTTTGCATTTACCTTCCAGATACACTGAGATTTTAACATAACCTGCATTTAACTAATACACATGCTTGGTTCATCAAAAAAAAAAAAAAAGTAGTAGTAGTAAACATTACTTAAAAATCCCAC